AACATAAAGAAAAATTAAAGTTTACCACTCGACTTGTGGATTATGTGAACTTGGGGAGAAATTATGTCATCGCTCCGCATTTGCCCGTGGAGATAAGTTTAGATCTGGCCAACCTCTTTCACCCAAAATCTGTTCGGATAAAACTGCTCCAAAAAAACCCAATAGATGATTGAGGGATATCCCTATTTTGCGGAACCTCATTATTGCGAACGTCTTCAGCCTTGACGTACATTTCTAACATATTTAACACAAGAAGTTCCTAGTGTTCATCCGGAGTCCTCAAAAAATCTATCAGAGTTTTATCATCTTTGATGTTAAATTCAGCATAACATGCAACCCCTTGCGGAGTAACAAAATGTGGATATCTTCCGGTTACTTTAATATTCACCGAACGTTTGCTCACACTCATTTGTTTACATAACAACGATACCAATCTATCGTACTCCATTGTAAGTGGCAACTTAACATGATACTGTGGAGAACAACTATAACGTACTGAGTTATTTTTCACCACAACCTCACCCCACAATATAATGAAACCCTAATTTTTCGGTCTTCGGACATTACGACAAAATGTAAAATAATTTAACGAACAAATATTTTGGAAGACCTGAAGGATCCAGAATGAATTTTTACCTAATTCTGGAACTCCTTAAATAAGAAAAAAACAAGACCGGGGGAAGGGGGTACAATAATTGAAATATAGCGCATGCATAGTAGGCGCTATATATTTAGCGCATACATAATAACCGCTATACCCAAATGAATTATTAGTGGTCAGTTAAGTGCAGAAGAATTATTGGTGGGGCATGACATTTTATATATAGCGTGGTTATTCATCGCGCTATACCTTAACGGACAAACGTGTCGTTAAGGTATAGCGCGGTGAATAACTACGCTATATATAAAATGGTACACAATTTGTTTTTTAGTTATTTGTGTCTTTTGAGTCCAAAAGAATCACACTTTGGTTTCAGACTCAATGAAGTATACTCCTAACTTCAACTTTGATGTCTTTCAACTATACTGTTTAACGGCCCGAGTTGACCTGGTTCCGCACTAGCGCATACCTATATTAAACCTCACCGGCCCGGACCGGTGGTAGGGGCCCGGGTAGGGCTGGGTTTGGGGGGGATAAGGGGTTGGTACATATTGATTTTACTTACTGGTTAACCGGACCAGTCAAAATCGGTAAAGGAAAATCACTAGTGAACCGGTTAACCGGACTGCCTCGGAGCAGTCCAACAGTTATTTTTAGATTTTTTTTAAAATAATAAGTTGACCGTTGGCAACGGTCAGCTTCCAATTTGACTGTTGCCCAACGGATATTTTGCAAGAATAGCCCTTTTATTTTGGGCAATTTTTTTAAAAAAAATACTTTTTACAATTTAGCCCTTTGAAAAACTAAAAATACACTCCCCCTCTTCTTCATTTCTTCACTCATCTCTCATTTCTCAAACTCAAATCCTCAATTTTCATTCTCTCATTCTTCACCTAAATTGCAATTAACTATTTGGCTCTCATTTTTTTGAAATTTAATTTTTCGTATTATTTGAAGTTTGAAGTTTGAACGTTGAACAATTGGCATTTCTTCGTGGTAACATTGGAGTTGCGACATTATCAAATGTTCAATTTATTGCGAAATTCGGTGCACTCCCTCCAACTCTTTCTCTTATTTACTATTTTATTTATATTTTTAATTTTTGTTAGTAGTTAAATTTTCACAATATATTTAATGCTGCAAAAAGAGTTTGTAATAAGGTTGCTATTCTGGGTAATCGGGGAAATAGAAAAAGAGGTACTACTTCAACATCTAATAGTAATTTAAATGATTCTACACATGTTTCTGAAATATCACCTGATAATAATATAGATTATGAACAATTACAGGAAGATTTCGGTATAGAAGATAATGAATTAGAAATTGAAGATGAGACACCACTTATACCTAGTAGTGTTGGAGTTGGTAGCCGGGGAGTGGTCGTGGCGCTAGTAGTAGACCACTTGTGGCCCCGACTACTAATCGGAGATAAAGAAGTAACGTTTGGAAATATTTTTGACGAAATAGAGAATTTTGATAGAGTTATATACAAAATTTGTAAAGATGATTTTAAACATAAGACATGATGAGGTTTAGGGGGACTTGAACACTTAATAGACATATGAAAATTACCCATCCTATAGAATGAGACTCTGATTTAGATGAAAAATAAGGAACTCTAAACCCTAGTACTGGAGGACTTATGAAATATGATAAAATGAAGGATCGTGAGGAGTTAGCAAAAATGATTGCTTTGGGTTGTCTACCTTTTTCTTTTGATTCTTCATCATATGTGACTATGTATATTCAATGGATTTATAATCCCTTATTTAAAGGTATCCCTAGAAGTACTTGTAGATATGATATCTTTAGACTTCATGGACAATATCATACATACATACGTTATTTATTTGACCACATTCCTTGTAGAGTTTCTCTAACTTCTGATATTGGTCATGCTGTAAATGGAAATGATTATTTGACAATTACATTTCATTGGATAGATAATAATTATTGTATGCAAAAACGTATTATCGCTTTTAAATATGATGAAGATCAAAGCCATACTACTATTCTTATAAGTACTACTATTTGCGAAGTTGTTGAATTTTAAAATCTTAATAAAAAAGTATTGTATATGTCTTTTGATAATGCTTCTAACAATAATGCCGCTATTTCAATACCACTAGACAAAATTTTTCATGTTAGGTGTGCATGTCATATTTTATAATTTAATTGTTAAAAGCGGTCTTGATTTATTTTTGATTGAGATTACTCATGTTAGAAGAGCAGTTGGTGTTATTTAAGGAAATAATAGACAATCTAGAATTAGGGAATTTAAGACTAAGTGTACGGAGAATAACCTTAACCCCAGATTCATGCCAGATGAAATTGTTGCTAAATGGAATTATAAATACTTATTTTTAAAATGTTGCTACAAATATAGATTGTCAATAACTGAAGTTGTTAATGCGCATTGTACTGGTCCAAATCGTATGTTAACAACTAATACTTGGGAAATGATGTTGTTCAATTTTTATATAAATTTTATACAGCTACTGTTGAGTTTTCTGGAGCATATTACCCTTCTATTACTATGTCTTTAGTACATATACTGAAATTTCTTTTCTACTCTCTGAATTTAAGAAGAAAGAAAAATATAAGGATGTTGTTGAAAAAATGCAAGCCAAATTCAAAATATATTTCTTTCCAATTCCTTTTATTTACTTAATTAGTGATGTTTTAAATCCTTCTATAAAGATATCTAATTATCACTAATTAATCAAAGCTTTATATACTTATATGGAGACTGGACCAACTGAAACCCCATATATATATATATATATATATAATATTGTTGTATGAACAAGCTAAATGATTATTTACAATAATTATATAATTATTATGCAAATATAATTGATGATGATGCTATTAATGTAGGCAATATTAATCCCAATATGCATTGTACTTCTTCTACTGCATCTGCTACTATGGATAAAGATGAAGGCCTTGATGCTTATAATATTTGGGCTACATTTTCTTTTACTCAAAGTAGCAGGAACATTGATGAACTTCAATTCTACTTGCAAAAGCAATCAAAGCCTCGCACAAAGGAATTTTCACCGTTGGTATGGTGGCATGAGAATGAAAAGCAATTTCCCGTTCTTTCCGCTATAGCTCGGGACGTGCTGAATGTGCCAATTTTAACTGTTGCATCAGAGAGTGCATTTAGTCAAGGAAGACAACAACTAGGAGACACCCGTCACTCATTGGGAAGCAATGCTTTGAAAGTTTTAGTATGTTTTAGTATGTTGATAAACCAGAAGAGGAGGAACTTGGAGATATATTAACACGTAGTCATCCATCTGAATTTAACACTCCAGAAGATGGCCAAGAAGTTCATATTGATTATCAAGAACTTACTAAGGCAATGCAAAACCTTTGAAGTTCTAGATTTATATTTAATAATTAAACTTTGAATTTACTCTTTTTTCGTTAATTTAGTTGTTGTTAAATGTAAACTTTAATTTGCAAGTTTGAAATAAAAAAATAACTTGCAAATTATAAGTGCAATTTTTTCCCCATCTTCATTGTATTCTATTATCTTAAATTCTTAATGATATATTCAAATATAAGGATTTTAAAGCCTTTGCATCCTTTATTCAAACACTGTTTTTATAAGTTTGTTTTTTGGTTTTATATTTTTACTTTATCTTAATATAAATTACGGTAGTTATACAAAATACAAAAAAAATAGTCCGTCCCGTCCCCTTAGGCCCCGAACCGTTCCGGTTCATTAAATCATCGAATAGGCCCGGACCCATTAAACCCGATTGAAAAAAACCGGTAACCGACCCGGATTGGTGACCGGCCGGTCAAATTTTCCAGCAAACCGGCCCAGCCCCCAGCCCCCCGTCACCTTTACCTTTTAACACTTTCCACCTCAACCTAAAAAAGGAAAATTAACTGAATGGCAGTAAAAATGAATTTTCTAGATCTTCCAATGAACCATCACCACGTGGACCTTTTTGTCTTATTTTGTTTTTTTTGACTCCAATTGAAGAAAAATCCTTTAGTCCGCTTCCACGGGAAACTCTTTTACTTCGTCCGGTAAATAAAGAATCTCATTTTTCCTTCTAGTCAAGTCAACCATCATTTTCTTTTCTATCTGTAAGAAATTTCCTGGATAGATAACATTCCCTGTGTTGACAGCTATACGTACTCATATTTAGTACTAGTACTAGTGTAATTCCTGCTTTACTAACCCCTACCCCCCACCNACCTAACCTGTGAGTTGTGACCCTTTCTGAGACATTGGAGTAGAGAGGTAGTGGTGGGGTGATTTGAGGGGGAGGGGGGAGTAGGGAGGAACCCCAGTGCCCTTTTACTTTTCTTTACTTGTGTTCCTCCTGGAAGATGCTTTGCACAAAAAATTAAAAAAGGTGAGCTTATTATTCTTTTAAACATCTCTATCGGTCAAGTTGTAAAGTTTCTGCTTATCAATCACATTACATTTATAACTGTTCTCACTTTTATTTGTACCCCTATTCCATCTCTCTATTGATTGTCACTTTCAGTGAGTGAATCAGTAAGTGTGAAACAAGGAGAAGACCAAGAATATAGAGGAAAACAGGGCAAAGAAGAAGAGTTCAAAGCAATTAATGAAAATACATGGGCTGCAGTAAGCTTATAGTAAATGGCAAGGTATGTCAATATTATTTGTGAGAACAACATGATAATATTTTAAATCATAATGCCAGATGGAATAAGTTCTTTAACCTTTTTCTTTTATTAAAGATTGAAACTTTCTTATACCCCCAATATATTTCCATGTATGACTAGTATAAGAAGAGTACAAGTTGGTCGTAAAAGAATACCAGATTCTTGGTCAAGAAGTTGTGAACATACTTATTGCCAAGTCTACCACTGCTACAGTAGCTCCAATTGGAGGTAAAGTGATATCTTTCCTTCTATAAATACTCATCTTTATCCCTTCATTTGAGCTCAAAATATTTTTCTGTTTCTTGCTTTCTAATTTTGCTCAATGGGGATCTTTCCACCATGTTCTGCAGAGATGCTGGACAAATTGCTTCAAGTGGTTTGTGGCAAGAACCATGAGCCTACAATAGAAGATAACAACTTTAACAATAATACCAATGGGAAGAAAGTCAGAGGGACAGTTGTATTGATGAAAAAGAATGTATTGGACTTGAAGGATGTTGGTGCTTCTTTCCTTGATAGAGTTCATGAAGTCTTTGGCAAAGGTGTCTCTTTGCAGCTCATCAGTGCTGACCATGCAGAATCTGGTACCTCCTTTTACTTGTGCTCTACTTTTCTGTCAACAAGGTTCTGATACGAGGACATGAAAGCTAATAAATAACTAAACACAAATTATGTTTTAAGCAAACCTCAGTGCCCTTTTTCAACTATAAAACCAAGCAACAGAACATAGAGAGCGTTTGAATTTTCCATGTGCTTTAAATAGCAAAAATATTGATGATTCAAGTTAAGTTGATCCTAGTCTAATCCTGTGAGTGCTTGACCTGTTGTTTCCTGATTTTTCCTTTTAGTAGTTGTTGAATTGTGTAGCCACCTCATCTAAAAATTTAAAAAACAACTCGAGAGGGTGCACTTTAGTTTATTTATTTATGCCTACAACACACATTTCTCACGCGGGAGTCTTTTTCTTAGGATGCTGTGATACCATATTGAATGGGGTGAGCACCTCATCTCGATGCTTAAGTTATTAGAGGGATATGTAACTTCAATTAATTAATTAATTAATATCTAAACAGTAGCAAGTTGATATTCAATTTGGTATCTAAAAGAAAAAAAGTTTTGTAGTTTGTAAGTTTAATACAAAGACCTGTGTTTGAATTTTGTAGGAAATGGATGTAAAGGGAAGTTGGGAAAACCAGCATTCTTGGAGAAATGGATGTCCACTTTGACTTCAATATCAGCGGGAGATGCTACATTTAATGTGACATTTGACTGGGATGAGTCCATGGGAGTTCCTGGAGCTTTCATAATCAAAAACTATCACCACAGCCAGTTTTACCTCAGGACAGTCATTTTAGAAGATGTTCCTGGACATGGTCAACTTCATTTTGTGTGTAATTCATGGGTGTATCCAGCACATCGCTACAAATACAACCGAGTATTTTTTTCAAACAAGGTATCTCTAACATTAGATTAGCAATATTAGTGTGAGTTAAGTAAGGAAAAGTAACCTGCCGAGGCAAACTAGAGCAAATCACATTGAAAATCAAAAGTTGGATTGAGGTTCAGGCCTCAGAGTTGTACTTTATGTTTGTTGGCAATAACCAGACACATACTGATGAAGCTTCGTGAATTTTGTGAATTTTTATGCATGTAAAACTTTTTGGGACATTCTCTTCGGGTCCTCTTCGAGAGCCTAAAAAGTTCATTCTTGTTCTAAATAGACAAAAGCTATGAAAATTCTTTCACTAACTAGATTAGGATAAGTGAACAACCATGGCAACCTTGATAGGATAGCTACATATTGACTTCCTGAAACTCGTACTTTTTCTAGAAATGATAACTAAACAGTTGTATAGAGTTGATAGGTTCAAAATATGATACGATATGCTGAAATCAAATTTGCTGGTTTTCCAGACATACCTGCCAAGCAACACACCGGAACCCCTTCGACCATACAGGGAAGAGGAGCTTCTTAATCTTCGTGGAAGCGGTTCAGGCATGCTCAAGGAGTGGGACAGAGTGTATGATTATGCATTCTACAATGATCTAGGATTTCCAGATAAGGGGCCGGAATCTGTTCGTCCTGTGCTTGGTGGGTCGAAGGAATACCCATATCCTCGTAGAGGCAGGACAAGCCGTCGACCAACTAAAACAGGTAGATCACAAATAAATCAAAGACGTAACATTAAAATGATATGATTTACATTGTTGTAGAAACTTAATAGAATAAAGTGAATTAAAAACTAATTAAGTACTATGGATAATAAGCAGCTGATGTTCATGTTGTCTTGGCAGATCCTAACTCAGAGAGCCGGTTGCCACCTTTAGGTTTGAACATATATGTTCCACGGGACGAACGTTTCACTCATGTGAAGCTTTCGGATTTCCTTGCATATGCTGTTAAATCTCTGGGTCAGGTCCTCATTCCTGAGATTGTTGCTTTATTTGACAAAACCTTCAACGAGTTTGATAGCTTTGAAGACGTACTCAAGCTCTATGAAGGTGGAATTAAGCTGCCTGACCATCATTTAAACAAACTCAGGCAATGTATCCCATGGGAGATGCTCAAAGAACTAGTCCGCTCCGATGGTGAACCATTTCTCAAATTTCCGATGCCTGATGTAATCAAAGGTACCTAAGGCTCTTCCAACTATTTAGATAGCAGATACTTCCTGAGGTGAAAGATATTGCGTCATAATGTGAACACTGATAGAGCTTCGTTTAAAATTACTGCAGTGGATAGGTCTGCCTGGAGGACAGATGAAGAGTTTGGACGGGAAATGCTAGCTGGAGTCAACCCTGTTATCATTCGACGTCTTCAGGTATCAAACAATATTCAAAGGCTAGTTGGTTTAATGATCTTTTCTTTCATTCATATTTCTAATCCATTAAATTCTTATCAGGAGTTTCCCCCAGCTAGCAAGTTGGATCCTAAAGTATATGGTAATCAGACCAGTTCAATCACAAGGGAGGACATAGAGAAAAACATGGATGAACTAACTGTAGATGAAGTAAATTCCTGACCTATTTTCCTCTTGTACCTTAACATACCGATGAAAAACAAGCAAAAAACTTAACAAAGGCTTTCTTTATTTCCTGAAAAAACTAGATTTTTGTCTAAGAATATGGTAAAGATTAAAACTTGCCTTCTGTACTTGTGGTTGCAGGCAATTGAGTATAATAAGCTCTTCATTTTGGACCATCATGATGCGTTGATGCCTTATCTCAGACGGATTAATACAACAAATACAAAGACGTATGCCAGTCGGACTCTCCTTTTTCTTCAAGATAATGGAACATTGAGGCCACTTGCAATTGAGTTGAGCTTACCTCATCCACAAGGAGATAAACATGGTGCCACCAGCCTTGTATTTACACCAGCCGACGAAGGTGTTGAAGGCTCTGTCTGGCAGCTGGCCAAAGCTTATGCCGCTGTAAATGACTCTGGCTATCATCAGCTCGTCAGTCATTGGTAAGCTGCTTCTTAGCAAAGTAGATGGAAGGATGACAATTTTTGGTAGCATTTTTAAGTTTAAGTCTAGTTCACTAACTTCACCTCGAATTGCAGGTTAAATACTCATGCAGTTATAGAGCCATTTGTGATTGCTACAAATAGACATTTGAGCGTACTTCATCCAATATTCAAGCTATTACAACCTCATTTCCGCGATACCATGTATATTAATGCTTTGGCTCGGCAGATTCTCATAAATGCAGGTGGAGTACTTGAGCTGACAGTTTTTCCGGGTAAATATGCCATGGAGATGTCTTCTATTGTCTATAAGAACTGGGTGTTCACCGAGCAAGGACTCCCTGCTGATCTGCTTAAGAGGTATGTCCAAAACTTCATGTTAAGAACTTTATATCAGTATCAATGTTGACCAGAATCTAACACTCCCACTTTCTTTATCGCAGAGGAGTAGCAGTGCCAGACTCAAGCCAGCCCTTTGGCCTTAGACTTCTAATAGAGGATTATCCTTTTGCTGTAGATGGGCTTGAGATCTGGTCAGCAATTGAAGCCTGGGTAAATGACTACTGTTCATTCTATTACCCAACAGACGACATGATCCAAGATGATACTGAGCTCCAGTCATGGTGGACGGAAGTTCGCAATGAAGGTCATGGTGACTTGAAAGATGAACCATGGTGGCCTCAGATGCAGACCCGAGCTGAACTCGCCGAAGCATGCACAATTATCATATGGGTAGCTTCTGCTCTTCACGCAGCTGTCAACTTCGGGCAGTATCCTTATGCTGGTTACCTCCCAAATCGCCCAACCGTAAGCCGCCGATTCATGCCTGAGCCAGGCACCCCTGAATATGCTGAGCTTGAGTCAAACCCTGACCTTGCCTTCCTGAAGACAATCACAGCCCAGTTCCAAACTCTGCTAGGTGTTTCTTTAATAGAAATATTGTCACGACATTCTTCAGATGAGATATATCTGGGACAGAGAGATACTCCCGAGTGGACCTCAGATATTCAACCGCGACAGGCATTTCAAAGATTCCATGACAGATTAGTCGAAGTGGAGAACAGAATAGTGGAAAGGAACAATGACAGCAGATGGAAGAATCGCAACGGACCAGTAAAGGTGCCATATATGTTGCTATACCCCAATGCCTCAGGTGACAATAGTGAAAGTGGACTTACTGGAAAAGGAATTCCCAATAGTGTCTCAATTTGAGGTTCTACAGCACGAATAGCTGATATATAGCTTTTGCAGTCCTCGTCAACCTGCAGAAATCATCCGCAACTTAAGCAGGAGTGGCAACAGATGTGTGTAGATCTATTTTTATGTCAATATTTGTTTAGCCAAATTCCATTATTGTTAGTGTGTGTTTTTACAATAAAATCAATGAGCAAATCCCCTCATTTTCCCCCACCTTGTAATCTCTGCTTAAATGTAAAAAGGTGGAAATTCAACAGCTTCATGACTAGGAGCCCAAGAAAAGAAACGGAAGCAATGGGTCCTTGTTTATGTCAAACACGTTACAATAGTATTTTTTTCTTCTAATTTTTCTATAACTATAACATGGTTTTATTGTTTTTGGATCATGATCCTATTATGTACTGCAGCTAAAAGCACATCGCTAAACAGCAGCACTGAGAGAAATAGGAAAGAAACACATCAAAGAGATGAATGCCGACCCCATATGGCATGGATCGATAGAGATTTTCACATTCCTTCAAATTCTATAAATAGAGGCATATCTGTTAACACAAGACTCCTGCACATTACACGTCTTAGCACAAAAATGTCCAGTCTTTTTAACTGGTGGAATAGATCATCATCTTGCGAAAACATACGTTTCACCCAAAAATACGCGATTTCTTGTGGAATTAGTATATACAACCTTTTTCACTATTCTACTGCTTTTAGGACAAATTTACTGGTGCATCCTACAAATTTCAATTTATGAAGGTTACGAGACAGCATTAAAGTTAACGTCTACGAACATAATTCAAGAAAATGATCATGCCTTACTTTTCAAGTCCCACCTTCTACTAACTGGCTTTCTTATCAATTCAAACTTAAATTATTTTACATTCTCGTTTCTCAAGCAATGACCAACTTATCCTGGTAATAACCCAGAAGTGAATAAATTATTGAAAATATATCCTATCAAGAGAAAGCAAAGGGTAATGTTTAGCTAGAATCAGGAGAAAGCAAGTAGTTTACATAACAACCTTCATTTCTTTTTTGTCAACTACCAGATAATATACTGCAACTTTTAAACCATATTGACGGTGAAAAATTTATTTTGTCAGTGTATATAACTTAATAGAGGGCAATGCAAAAGAAATTTTACACTGACCTAAAAGATATCTACAAGTGATCATTCATAAAAGATGGGATTAGCAACATGGAAAATAACATGTAACAATTCTGCACACTCTTAATGTATATAAGTTAATCCTCTTATTTTGGCATTTAATGATCAGATTTATCTTTGGTGCAGCAAGATTAAAGTCCTACGCCAGTTGGAACAAATTCCCAAAGAACATAAGAAAAGGAAAGAATGCAGCAGAATATGAGACGACTTATAACAATAGTAGGAGACTAAAATTGACAACAGAACAGATGTGGCAAATACACTCACCCCATGAGGTTGAAGCAGTAGAAAATGATAGATTATATTCTGCTGAGGTAACTAACTATATATAGCAAATCGGGGTAATTCGCTTTCATCACAGAATTGCTTGGAAAGTTGGGCACTTTTGACTATCCGCCATAAGCAACTGCCACTTAAAGAAAATTTCTGCAGAAATGGCGAGCGTGCCGTTTTCCGTGTGTCATCATTGTATTAAGTGTGTCATTACTTGATCAAGAGATGATAGTTAAACACACAGGAATGAGTGAAACTAATTCCCCATTTGGTTCTCACAGTCTCATTCCCCATTTAGTTCTCACAGTCAACGGGCTATTTTCAGATCCCTAACCGAAAAAAGGGCTTTTAACATGGATGAAAATAATTGCAACCGCCAGTATATACACGGAGAAGCATACCCAAAAGCTAGCTATTGAGGTAGCATAATTCAAGGCTATATAAACTCACATCAGCATTTTTGTAGTACCGATATGGAATTCAAGTCACATTCCTTTGTAATAGACCATAACAAACTACCGCGCTCGGCATCCGTCGTCCCCGATGCCTGTGCGCCGGATATTTCTAGCTCCGGGCGAACACTGCAATAACGACATCACCATCCAAGGCATGATGGGCAGAGAGGGTGGTGGGTGACTCTGATACCATTGATACAACCTAGGGAGAACCACATCGGTACTACAAAGTGCTCATATGAGGTTTATATAGCCTTGGGCTTTCCGACCTCAATATCTAGCTTTTGTGTGCGGTTCTCCTTAGGTTGTATTTTTTTTTTTATATATATATTATTTGGAGGGCGGCCACACAATGTAGATTTCCAAAAAAATCATTGATTGGAAGATAGTTGTTGATGGTGAGAACTGATTGGGGAATTTGATTTTTTAGTCCCTCTAATGTTGATAACATTTGGTGATAAGTTTATTTAATATTTATTAAATGCATTGTCGACTTTGGCCTCTGCTCGTAAACCTTCACAAGTTCAACAAATTATTAATTGTTAAAATTTTTCATTACTTATTGTTAATTACATTATATTTTGAAGGTGATATACCTCTAAAAATAGTTTAAATATAATATATGAAGGGACAAAAATTACAAATTTTAGTTATTGAAGAATATATGTGTTTAGGTAAACATCACAAGGAGTAAAGTTCGAATTTACTAATAAACGATTGATCAAAAGTGAACTTTTTCCAAAAGTGAACTTTTTCAAACTACTCACATATTCGAATCGAACTACCGGGCTACTGCTAAGCCATTTTTGTAAACATGTTAAACGGACCAGGCCAGCTTGTTAACTATCCGGTTCGACCTGGTATAGCCCGGGTTAGCCCGGCAAGAGGTGAAACGAGATGGGTTGTATAGGGAGGTTGGTCCAGATGGGGGGCGGGCCTTTTTTCGTTATCGATACACTGGAGCCCGGCTGGCTCAGTAAGAAGTTACTAATTCCTTATCGGATTCCAGCCCGGTAATGGTAAAAAAATTTGACAGTTGCCAATAATCAAAATCTGGGAAGACCATTCGCCAATGGCTCTTTTTTGCAAAAATAGCCGTTTCAACCTACCCCATTAGAAAAATAGCTCCCCACCACTTATAATTGATAAATTATAATTGTAATCTTTTAAAAATTATAAATACGCGATTTCTTGTTTATTTTATTTTATTATTTTGAATTATTAATTTAGTTTTTTTAATTTAATTTGCATAATAAATATATTTAGAGCAACCAAAAAAGCGTGTACTAGTAAGAGTAAAAGAAATAGAGGTGGTTCTTCTAGTAGCTTTACACATGTTTTCGAAAGTTCACCTAAAAATATAAATGTAGACTATGAGCAACTACAAGAAGATTATGATATATATGATAATTTTGATAATATTGAGTCACCTAATAATCTTGAAATACCACCACCTATGCCATGACCCAAAATCCTAACCTGTCGTGATGACGCCTATCGTGGTACTATCAAGCCGATATTTTGAAATAATTCCAACACCTTTAACAGAAATGAATTAAAGCAGTTTAAATAATAAAAGTTCTCATAAAATAGGGATAGAAACCCAAAACACAATACGGAAGTTCCCAACTATCGGGGTGTCACAGAGTACATGAGCATCTATACATCACAAGTCTGGAAAATACTGTCTATGATAGTCTGAAACTAAATACAATAAGCGGAAAGATAGGGAATGAGAGACAAGGTCTGCGAAACGCCGAGCAGCTACCTTGGAATCTCCCAAAAGACCAACCGTGCGATGAAATCAACACCCATCGTGTCCGAAAATACCTGGATCTACATACGAAGTGCAGGGTGTAGCGTGAGTAAAACCAACTCAGTAAGTAACAATACTAAATAAAAAACTGAAAGTAGTGACGAGCTTCACAATTATAGTCCAATTACAGTAATTTCAACATAGGGAGGTAAGCATGCTTTCAAGTTCGACAATTAAAACCAAAACAGTAAATTCATGTCAAGTTCAACTGAAACATAAGATAATATCTCTCAGAAATTTCAAGACAGTAATATATGACAGTTGAAGTGTAAAAATAATGAAGTCAATGTATCCTCTCAGAGTAACAGTCATTTAGTCCTCTCATTCACTCCAATTTCACAATCACTCTTTCCTCACAATCACTCAGCACTCGACACTCGTACTCAGTAGGTACCAGCGCTTACCAGGGGTGTGTATAGACTCCGGAGGGGCTCCTTCAGCCTATACGATATAACAAGCTAATTATGGCATAAATCAGTGAAACATGCTATGACGTGCAGCCCAATCCCATAAATATTCTCACAATCAGGCCCTCGGTCTCACTCAGTCATCAACCTCTCCAGTCTCTCGGGCTCTCAATGATCATGAAAATTAGCCCAAACAGAAATGATGTAATGTATCAACAAGGAACAATAGAGACTGAGATATGATATGCAAGTAAAACTGTGACTGGGTACAAAACAGCAATTAGCAGATAATTCAACATGTACGCGACCGTTGTGGGTCTTTACAGTGCCAACTCATAGTCTAAACATGATTGCTAACATGATTTGTGGTTTAATTTCTCTAATACATGGAGAATGTACAGATAACAATAGATTATTCAACTACACAGTCCCATGGAATTTGACCAAGTCACAATTCCTACGGTGCACGCCCACACGCACGTCACCTAGCATGTGCGTCACCTCAAAACTAACTACATGACACGTAATACGGGGTTCTATACCCTCAGAACTAAATTTAGAACTGTTACTTACCTCAACCAAGCAAATCTCTACTCCAACACACCCTTGCCTCACGAAATGACCTCTGAATGCCTCAAATCTAGCCATAAACAATTTGATATAATCAATACGGGCTAAAGGAATCAACTCCATAAGAAAATGCTAAGCTATTAATTAAAATAAAAAATTGACTCAAAAGTCGGCCCCCGGGCCCACATCTCAAAATTTGATAAAAGTCACAAAACCCGAAAGCCCATTCAACCACGAGCCTAACCATAACAAATTTATCAAAATCCGACCCCAAATCATCATCCAAATCCCCAAATCAAACTCTCCAAATCCCTAGCCTCAAACTCCCAATTTACACCTTAAATACATACCAACTAGGTGGAAAAATCAACGGGGAAGCAATATTATTGATAAAAAATGAGCACAAGGGATTTACCTCAAGAATCCCCTCGAAAACCCTCTCAAGAATCGCCCAAATCCGTGCTTGAAATGTTTGAAATGAAGCCAAAATCGCGAACCCTTATTTTAATAATCTGCCCAGCACTTCCGCTTCTGCGGCGTCGTAGAAACAACATCACAATGCATCTGCAGCTCATTCCGCTCCTGCAGTCCATCACTCCGCTTCTGCGAGAACCCAAGCCGCCTATGCGGACCAAGCCCATCTACCCAGTTCCGCT